GGACGCAAGAAGATGTCACAAATTTTCTATGAACGAAGATACGAGATTCGATTTGCAGTGGATCCTCGTTCCGCTCGACTGTCTCAGTGCATAAACCTCGACATATGTACGTGACACACGTGCGCACGTTAGTTATCGTTTTGCGGCTCGACCGTGTTCTACTTCGGTAATTTTATGTCTCGTATAAAACCTCTGTGTACGTGGACCTTTTACCGGGTAGCAGCTCGATCTATTTTTTGCGATAGATCTGTAAAATCGACGATATTAAACAAACCAAAGTCCTAGAATCTTTTCTTTATACCGGATTAAGAAAAACGTTAAACGAACTATAGAGACTTATCTTATTATTTTTCGATGAATAATCGACTTCGAAAAGAAGTGCTATTTTATACGGCAACATTATATAATTAAGAAAAAAGTACAATATTTATACAGGTAATAATAATAATAATAATAATAATAATAATAATAATAATAATAATAATAATAATAATAATAATAATAATAATAATAATAATAATAATAATAATAATAATAATAACAAACAACAGAAATACGAAAATAATAGGTAAACAAAGTAGGAAATAAATGAGCTGTATTATCGGTTAAAATTATCCTTTTTATAGTAGGTATATATTCCCTTAATGAGTTTACTTGACGTTACAGAATTAATCTATCATATCGCAAATTTATTATTTTTTTGATCCAGCAGATAACACAGGACAATAAATTTTCTAATTAATAGAACTACTTTACACTCGATCACTATTCAGTACATCTAGTTATCGATAAATAAATATTCGATTGGATTGAATATAAATTTATGAGAACGATCTTTGATATTAATAAATGGATGTTCGTCGTCGAAAACGTCGGATTTCAATTAGCGAAAAGAAAAAAGGAGAGAACAGGTAATAGGTTAGACTGTAGCAACAAATCAAGATATAAAAATCTCATTTCCACGAGCTGCGAAGTGGGATTCGGTCCGTTAAGTGGTTCAATGCTCGTTCACAAACACTGCCACAGACAGACGGTATATAAACGAGCTATCCGGGTCTGTACCATTCGTTTTCTTCGCTTAATGCATCTTAAGCCGAACTTTTTAATTCGACAAATACGATGCGCAACGCGGCATCGTCGACTTCATCGTTGTCAGTGGCTTGCGCCCGATACATTACCTACTTAAAAACAATAGCTAGGCCGCAAGCGTTTTCCGACAATGTATTTCCGCAAGAGGGAGTTACTTTTCCTGATTCCCTTTAAATGGTGACAGTGGCTTTGTTTTTAATGCGAGTGACCCACTTGGCCCAACGTCCCATTTTGCCCCGATATTCTCTATGCCTCCAGGTAAATAGTATACTTCCTCGCCTACGAAGAATCTAGTTCTTTTTCCTAATCGATTAATCGTTCTCGATTTTCTCGATATATATATATATATATATATATATATATATATCGATTCAAACAAACGGATAGGATTTAAATAGTTGGAAAAAGAAGAAACGAAGAAATCAAAAACCGTATAAAACTTCTCAACGTAAAATTAATACGTTTCAATCGTAGCGCCTATCGAGAAATTTCGAGCAATCGATGTTATATCTACCGATATAATAAAAATATAATCTCGAATAAAAGTATAAAAATAAATTCTCGAAAAAAGTCCAAGAGGTATCACTCTACACGTTATATCTCTTCATTGTAGTCAAATGTAATTTCTTTTTTCTTTTATTTTATTTTTTTTTATTTATTTATTTATTTTTTTTTTTTTTCTATACAATTCAATACTATCCAAAGCTATCTCCGAACATTGATGCTCTCGTAATGTTTAAACGATCAAATGTGTTCGTTGCTTCTCTTGATGATACTCGTGCGCACGTATGTTCTTGCGCAATATATACACACATTGCGCAAACACATACTCATATGCATACACACACACATACACATATATATATGTTTGATGAGAGTCGTATGAAAAGTGGAGCGCGGAAGAATTGTGCAGAACGACGATGCGACAAAGCAGCTAATTGATCGATCAGTCCTTTACCCGCGACTCGACCGTTTGCCATCCTTGTAATGACCTCACGACCCGCCATATTATAACGTTATACGCTGTAAACAGAGTGGATCGCACCTTCGACGTTCCCTGTTTATTACCTTCATTAATGTATATATGTTTTCTTCGTTGGACGCACATGCGCCCTTTTATACCATACAGTTTATCTCTTAAACGCATTAAAACTCAAAACTTTGCGAGCACGTGTATCGTTCTGTCTCTCTCTTTCTCTCTCTCTCTCTCTCTCTCTCTCTCTCTCTCTCTCTCTCTCTCGCTCGCTCGCTCTTTATTCATGTATTTATCTATCTATCTATCTTTTTCACCCTCTATTTTTCTCTCTTTCTTTTTGGTTTTCGTAATCTCGAACACAGCGACAAGTGCAAAAAAGACAAGCTGATGAAAAAAACAAAAATAAAAAAAGAGAAGCGTAACGCTAGCTGGTACTGATACAACGAGCACAGTATGCATACATATAGGGTGACCGCGTAAATAGGAACAGGTTAGGTATCCCGACATTAAAGGGGATGGAAGGAAAGCCAAGCGTTTGCTTGTATTACTTTTTAAAAACGTTCTCGCTGTCGCTCTTCTTTTTTAATGTTTTTTTATCCGCCTAGATTAATTTCATTGAAATATAAGTTTTCTGTTATTTGTAATAAATATTATATTTACGAAGAGAGGAAAAGAGAGAGAGAGAGAGAAAAAGAAGAAAAGTAATAGAAAAAAAGAAAGAAAGAAAGATGACTGCAATAATATATAATTTATTTTTAATTTAATGGCTGTGAAAGTTGATTAGAAATGTAAGGAATTTTGAAGTTTTACGAAGTTCGAGTATACGAGTTAATTCTTGGATTGGCTTTTTTATAATTTTGTTGACATCTTGTATGTGTTTATTTCTTTTTAATGGACATTTACAATAATGTTTTTTTTATTCTTTCATTCATTTTCTTTTTTGATATACTTTTACCAAGTTCTTTTTCTATCCTAGATGCATTTTGATAATTATATATTTATCTCTTTTCTGTAATATTTGATATACGTACAGATGAGTACTAGTTTTTGTGGACAGTATAGTAATCCTTAGTAAATATGCCAGAACAGTATTGCATGCTCTTAAAAATACAGGACACAAATATAATTCCATGTCAAGAGAATTGCAAAAGGTCTTTAAGTATTATTTCTTTACATTGAAATTCGATCTTAATTACGCGCCACATTTTTTTAATCATTATAGTCAATACACGCTGGTTTTTTTTTTTTTAAATAACGCATTTATTTTTAATATTCAGTTCAGATCTTCCGTAAAATATGAATATATAAATTTTTGTTTAAATCGATTAACAATAACAGCAGGTTCGATAGATCGAACAATCATATTGAATAATTCGATGTTTTAAAAGGATCCATCAAATATTTGTAATATTCCGATAAAATTCGTTCTTCTTGTTATTCTCTATTTGTTTTGTTTTATTTTGTTTTGTTTTTTTTTCTTTTTTTTTTATTTAGCATAGCAATGAATAGATTAGATTTCTTTAACAAAGGATCGTGGCCCGCAATTTGAAAACAGTAGACTTTTATTCTACATTATTCGTTCCGTTGACTAAAATGTCGAACATAAAGATTCACAAAGTTCTTGCGTACGATATTTTTCGATTTATATATGGAGAATGTCAGACTCCGTGCGAGTCTATCCCGAGAGAAGCCTTGAATTTCCATAGAGGACACGTATTTCGCTTCACAAGAAAGGAAAGTTGCGGACATATGGACTTTCTTCATAGCTTTTTGAGTTAAAAGTCTGTAAAAAAGTTCGGCGAGCGTTTCATAAATCTTTGTTTTTTTTTCTTTTCTTTTCTTTTCTTTTCTTTTTTTCTTTTTTCTTTTTCCTTTTCCTTTTTCTCCTTCTTAATCAACTTTTCTTCTGATCTACATAAATTTCACCAAAGCCTCTGGAAATTGGATTGGTGTTGGACACCTTATAGTTGTACGTCTTCTCGCTACTACTCATCTCTACATAGTTCTTCTTTAATGTTCGCATATAAAGTGTATAAAAACTGGATTTACAAATAGTACACGATATGGTTTTATTTTTTTCCAAGTAGCTCGTTTGGAATACTTATATAAATAGAAAAGTCATGTTACTGAAGGTTATAATGATACTTTATGATTTGTTAGAATAAAAGGACAATTCTTCGAATCAGTTTTACGATTGATTTCGTTGAATTTATCGAATACAACTACAAGAGAATCTGAAGTTAGTTGACGCTAAAAAAAAATATTTCGTACATCGGAGAAGATCGATTGTGACAGTGAGGATCGTATCGATAAAACGGGATTGTTAAATCGAGCTTTTCCTAAACTAAAAATGAAAATATATTTCAGTTTTATAAGACCTCTACTTTTCACATCCGTTAGAATATCCAATCTCTCTCTCTTTCTCCCTCTCTTTCTCTCTCTTTCTCTCTCTCATACTCTTTCTTTCACTCTCTCTGTTTGTTCTAACGTATAATCAAGCCATCCGATATTTCCTATTTCCGATTGTAGTTAAGAACAGAGATCCGCCCTCCTTGTCTGCCCAGGATGCATAGCAGTTACTTTGGCCGATAAAATTTTCTATCGCTTTCGGGCGATACTCTCATGAATATTAACAAACGTAATCTAACGGACGATTTATATTCATAGATTTTCTCTTCTCTTTTCTTTTCTTCCTTTTTTCTTTTTTTTTCTACTACTTATCACAACTAGAAAAGCGTTTCTTTGTTTTCTTTTAAATCTTTATCATTGACTATCTCCATAATAGTATCGTCAAATTATTAAGTAAGATATTTTTTTTTTTTTAATAGTTCCTTCATATTTCAACGATTATTCTCATTTTAATATAATTCATTGATTAAACAGTAACATATGAAATTTTACAATTTAGCAATTCACATCGAAAATCTTTAATTACCTGTTATACATGAGAACGTCCGGTTTCCAAAGTCGATGCGGAGGGATCCTGAGATCTCTGACACCTCCATACTCTGAGACGTTCCACCTCATATTAACATCGTTCCATTCCTGAAAAAGAAATAGAAGAAAATAAAATTATATTTATATTTTTCGATAAGAAATTAAAAGGAATACAAATTAAATATTTTTAATATATTTTTAATCTATTTTTAAACATTACGATTGATAACTGACATTTAAAAATAATTATCGTTATGTTCAATTATAATCATTTGTGAAGTCATTACAATTGAACTGAAATGTCTATGCATTATACGGAATAATCCTATTTTCATTCAAATCGCACTGACATTCAAAATTTAATTCGCAATCGAGATCATACAGTTTGTAAAACGAGTCTAATCGTGTGCTTTCTTTCAAATTTAACGATAATTCCTTGTCCAATGTAGAAAAAGAACATTTTAGGAGTGTTAAAGCATTTTTTTTGGTTTAATCTTTGCCCGTACGAATTTAAAGTCATAAATCCTAGTTAAACGGAGTCACTTTTTTCATTCCTATTCTTATTCAGTCTACGAGAAAGAAAGAGAGAAAGAGAGAAAAAGAGAAAGAGAGAGAAAGAGAGAGAGAGAAAGAGAAAGAGATAGAACGAGTGCTAATACTTTACTTAGAGTTGGTGAAGAAATTTTCTTACTAGTTTCACGCTGAGTTCAGGTTTTCGTGAGAATGCGAAGCGGTTTAAAAAGTTGATGAAATTTCATGGGGAAGAGCAAAGAGAATATTTCTTCCATTCAGATTTTTTTCTCTATCAGATCTGTAATCGATCGATTAAGGTCGATAAGAACGACTAATAATAACGTTCAACGAAATTTATCTTTGGTGTCTTTTCGTGTAGTATTTTTAGTTTTCATAAAAATTATTATAAAAATATAGAAAAATAAATGTGTAATGAAAGAATGTAAAAACTCGAAAAATGTCGAGCAAAATGTGATCATCTATACGTTATAATATCGCGAGAAAAAACGATAAGCTGAGATAGAGGGAACTCTTATCCCACCTTTATCCATTTCATCTTGTTGAATTATACCCTAGTACGGATTTATAGATCAATGGGATACTTGAGGATGCACCGTAATCGATCTCATCTCACAGGAATCTCCTTGAATTAGGCGACCTTTGAATCGCATCCTTAGTCTGCACTCGAAAGCTTAAATTATTGAGCCGTGTGAATTTCAATCTCTTAAGAGTTTCGCATTGCCTTGCATAATTCGTATCATATCTATTTTTTGTCGACTCGAATTTAACATCTTTTATCAAATAGATAACAATGTATATTCACGTAGAAAAATAGAAGAATATCAGTAAACTAGTATATCTCTCTTTTTGAAAAAAATAATAAAGAATATAGAACGGATATACCGAATGCATATTCAATATTGAATATTTTATTAAAAATAAAGTACAGCAGAACGTCAATTATACGATTAATAAGAAATAACCTTTATAATCATGTTTGTGTTCAATAATTAAATTAATGGATATTTCTGCTTCCTTGTAGCTCATCGGATTTATTTTTATATGAATTTGATTTGGATTATTTTATATGGATAATAAATTATCCATATAATCAAAAATATGTTATTTTCTCACAACATTTCATGTTAACGAACGTTTTATGGTATAAAGAAATTAATGAGGATCGCTTTGAACGAAAACGTCGTCAATAATACGAGGTACAGAGCTTTAATTAGCTATTTAAAATGAATCGAAGTAAAAGAAATTGGCAAGAGATAAAAGAAGATCGATCGAAGGATTAAACATTTTTATTCGGCTCGCCGCGAATTAAAAACAAACTCGTTTATCACTACGTCAGAAAGATATATCGAAGGAACTTAGAGAAACGAAAGAACGGAAAATGAGAATGAGAGAAAGAGAGGTTGTTTTAAAAAAAGAAGAAGAAATTGAGAGAAAGATATAGAGAAACGGCTGCGTTGTTTCGCACGTTGGAAAGCGATCTCGAGATGCCCTTCGCAAAGGGATGTCGAAAGAAGTGAAGGGAAAGAAGGGAAGATTTCCTATCGCGTTCGCAAGTAAAGGCGTTCGTGGATGGCTTGCACGGTAGAATAGAGCGTCGTTCAGGCTGACAAGGGGAGACCACGATATATAAGCTTGGGATTTCAAAGTAAGGTTGAAAATATGCCGGTGAATAGAGAGTTAGGGAGATAGCCTAAAATATTTTCTTTCCTTGGCAAATTGTTTTTTTGTCTTTTTTCTTTCTTTCTTTCTTTTTCTACAACAGTTTCATTTCAACTTGAGAATTTTGTTGAATTGGATCGGACCTTTTTCTTTTTTCTTATTTTATATATATATATATATATATATATATATATATATGTTTTATATCATCGGAATAATTTCTTTTTCGAAATATATCTTCATTTACTATAACTTTTCTCTACCCTTTAAACTTCTAATCTTATTTCAAAATCCTTACTTTACATGTTACAGGCTCTACTTGTAAACCATTAGATTCACACCCATTAGTCACTGACCCCGATTGATTAACCACTGATGGAGTATGCCGTCGGATAATTAATAATAGCCACATCGGCACGTTGGTTTACGTTCCACGCATAGCGCGTTATTATATACGTACATATGCATTTGAACGCACGTCTCTGGAAGATTTACCGATCATCCTTCCTCAATTCCGACGATCAAACAGTAATTAGTTGATGGCTAAGAAAATTAAGATCAAAAAAAGAGAAAGAGAGAGGAAGAGATAGAGATAGAGATAGAGATAGAGATAGAGATAGAGATAGAGATAGAGATAGAGATAGAGATAGAGATAGAGAGATAGATAGAGAGAGAGAGAGAGAGAGAGAGAGAGAGAGAGAGAGAAGAGGGATAAGAGATGAATAAAGGAGAAGAAAGGAAAACTCAAGGAGGATAAAACCTTTGTAAAAATTCTATAGCAAGCCGTTTTTTTGAACTTAAAGGAGGGTTGTAAATCTCGGATAAAAAGATGGAAGAGATATAAGAATGTGCAAAAGAGAAAGAGATAGAGAGTTAAAGGTAAAGAAAGTTACTAGAGGATTCGAAGAAAGATTTTCTTAAGTTCTTTTCCTCGAAAAACTCTTCCGGAGAATAGAGCTACGTACATATCTATATATGTATATACCCGATAAAATTTTTTTCGTTGTCGATTCAAATCTCCGAAGTATTTGTACCGGCTTGTTGTCAGGTAAACGAGAAATCAGAACTGACCTCTTTTAAAATGCAAACTCCTTAAAAAAGTTTCCGTTTTGTTGTAGCAAACTCATAAACAAACCCTTCTCTTTTCACGACTTCTCCTCGATATTTTACTTCGAGAAAGTGAAATGAGAGGATGGATAAGTACGAAAGGACTACTTGAGACATTCGTCCCTCCCTCTCTCTCTCTTATATATATATATATATATATATCAACGGTAGATGCCAGCTCGAGTGGACGGTTGTTATCGCAAACTATACTCACGAAGTGCGAATTTTATCGCTCCGTCTCCTTCTACGATTTCTATAAAATCTAGAGATTTTCTATAGAAATATGATATCGTTTAAATCTAAAAATGACACTGGCAGATTTAGTGTGATAAGAGGATGTTATTCGTCTCGTAATAACGTTGTAATAAGTTTGTAATACACTTCGTGATTCAGTTCATTCTTCGGACCCAAGGAGAAGCTAATTAAAATGTCACCATAATTAAGGACGCTGTGAAAATTTTCTCAACTTATCGTCGTCCTTTTGTTTTCGTTGGAAATTCTTCTAGCAATAAACTCGAAATACGACAGAGTAGAATTTTCTATATCGTTAATTTATAATAATATAATAAATATCCAGTTAGCGCGTATGCTCTTAGTAGCTCAGATGAATATTTTCATCGATTTTCGTCGTGGCTGCAAGCAGCTAACACGTTGCTAGCCGACCGTGCGACGTCTATTTTTATCGACGACGACGACGACGACGACGACGACGACGACGACGACGACGACGACGACGACGACGACGACGACGACGACGACGACGACGACGACAACGATGACGACGAGAACGAAGAACCATATCTCAAAATCGGAAAAGATGTTAAATTCGATAAGCGAATGGACCGAAGAATAGGAGGAAAATAACGAACGAACGAAGTTATTAATGATTTTACAAGAATTAAAATTTTCCTTGATAATCTTTTCTATATCGAATTGTAACTTTCCAATTTTTTATTATCGATTGATTATTTTATTAATGTTGATAATTATAAATCAAACGATCAGCCATAATAAATATTTTCATTTATGTAAAAGAGATATCACTGTGATTTAATGATAAATATCTATAGATATCTACATCTACAAAATTCATTTAAAAATCGAGTTTATATACGCCGATATATAAAAAATAAAAATCGAATAACAATACTTGAATTAAACACGTACACGTACGTACATATGTACATACATTTCGATGAAATCTGTCAAGCAAAAAATCGGAAGGATCGACGTTAACCCGCTTTCCTTTTCGATTCAAAATTATCCAAACTCTGGATGCAGCATCCGTTCGATGCTAAAGACGAGACAAATGTTAGGGATCCTAGACTCTAGTGAAAGACGTTAAAGAATGTTTCGTCGACGAAGAATGCAGCTGCTACTGCTGCTACTGCTGGTGCTAGTGCTAGTGCTGGTGTTGTCATTGAATGTAAAGGACGATTTGATTTCGATAGGAAGATAAAAGTCACGGGATCGCGTTATCACGATTCCAAAGAAAGAAAGAAGGAATTTCGTTGCAAAGCATTCTCGATTTTTTGCTTATTTCGTGGAAATTCCTTTTTCTGACGGAGACAGATACATATACATACACACACACGTACGTCTATAGGTATAAAGAAAGGAGAGAAAGAGAAAAATAGATAAATAGATAAATAGATAGACAGACAGAAAGATAGATAGAGAGACAGACAGACATATAAATAGAAATAGAAGGAGATTTAATATATTCTACCGTTTGAAAATTAATACGATCTATCAGTTTCCTCAAACGTAACGTTATTTTCTATCCTCGGCTTTATATTGGTATATAT